TAGCCTTCCGCTCACACGCTCACTTCCCGTGCTTTCAGAGCGATATCCAAAAAATTCCAGATAGCTTGTTCTCCATGGTGCTGTGAAATCCCTTGTGGTCCTGGTACCCACATTGTATATGCTGCCTGCTCCTTCTCACTAGTGAGCATCTCTGTACGCATCTCCTCTGTCTCAGCTGGTGTGTAAGTGGCCCCAGTGACACTTAATAATGTTTCCAAAGCACAGAAGTCATAATGCAAAGGAGACCCTGGTACAGGCTCAGTGGGAGCCAGGTGCCTTTGGTGCTATGAGGTAAAACTGTGGGGAACATAGAAAAAGTGTCACCACAGTCCAAGCTTCAAGCATATAGTAGGGAAGGAAATATGTCCCTTAAAGAGACAAGGGCCTGCTGCACGTCAGGCTGGGTAGCTTAGAGCAACAGAGGTTTATTCCTTTAAAATCTTGAGCCCAAGTCAGAAATGGGTGGCCCAGCAGGTTAACACTCAACACTAGAGGCCTTAGGAGGATAATGTTTCCTCCTGCTTCCAGCAAGTGTCATTGTTCCTTGATTCATGGGCACATCTGCGTAGATGTCAAATAACTTCCTCCAGTTCTCTGGGGCCTTATCTGTGCTCTTAGCAACATTTGCTACTGGCTATAGGATGAGTTCAGTTCCAACATACTACGTCTGCAAACATCTGGGGGTTTTGTTTGTTTTAAAGAAGCTCACATCAGGGCCACGGAGATGGCTCAGTGGATAAAGTGCTTACCATACAGCAACAGCACAAGGACCAGGGTTCACATCTCAGGTGCTCACACAGAGTCAGATGGGTGTGGTGGCATGCCTGTAACCACAGCACCACTGGAGAGGTAAAAACGGAATCCTCAGAGCCAACTGGCGAGCCAGACGACTAATGGTTCCGTAAGCTCTGGGTTCAGTGAGACCCTGAAGGAAAACGAAAGCGGAGAGTGAGCTAGAAGAATGACTGTGAGCTTCTTGCTAGCAACCTCAGCGCGTGCGCACACACACACACACACACACACACACGAACACATACAAACACACACAAACACATGCAGAAGTGTGTTTATAGATTCTGGGGTTAGGATGTAGATGTGTCTTTTGGGTAAGCTCCAGTAACCCCACTACAAAGCAGAAACTCGAATATCTGTACGTCAGGCAGCAAAACAAAGCTGTGGCTATTAAAAATTGAGGAAACGGGGAGTTATATCCTACTCAAGGCTGTCCTCTCCATCCCAGCCTCTTGGGTGCCTGTTGCCCAAGAGATGTGCTGGAGCTTTCAGCTCCTGCTTAGACAGGGGACTCGTTTGGTCCGACCTCTCTCCAGGCATCCGCACTTGCAGTAAGCAATGACCAGGGATGGCAGGTACTTACTGAGAAATACCCTTCTAGTGCCCGTCTTTGGATTTTATGTTGAAGTGTGACTAGGTTAAATATAAAATTCACAGCATATCTTGAGCAACTATTTTGTAGTTATCTATATATAAATCTATTTTACAGCGACACAAATAGAATAGATTATGGAGTGTCAGCATGGAGATAGATTCTGAGTGCTTTCCACTAATATACCTAATGATTCGTGCTGAGAATATTCAAGGGCTCCACTGTACATTTAAATGGATATAATTAAAATAATGAGCTCTATTTTAAAAAATGATATATGAAAAAAATTTTAAGAAGTTGGAAGGAGCTGCACCACTAATTCAACGTGATCTAAGTACTTGTGATGCCGTTGTTATTAGGACACCTAATTAAATGCAGAGCAGTGAGGAAAAGAGCGGTGCGGGCCTGTAAATCTAAGTGCAGAGTCGGGGAAGAGATGGGAGCTGCCTGTGTCCTTAGCACCAGGAGCCGTGCCAGAGGGTGGTTCCTGTGACCCCATCCATAGGCTGCCTCAGCTGGGGTTCCAGAGCAAGCCTTACTGATTTAGGATGTGGTGGGGGCAGGGAGGGGGCTGTGGGGTGCTGTGGGTCTACCTGTCCTTGGGAGGACGTCATTCGCCGTTCCTCACTCTGGAACCCTCGTGTCCCTACTGGAGGTTCCAGGGGTCAGCAGATATGGCCTTAAGTCCTCAGTTGGCACCTTGCCCTGTGTCTCCCTGTAGTATATTTCCACTCAGGCCTGATGCAGGTGGGTATGGGTACCTTAAGCATGAATCTATCTACTGTCCCAGAAGTCCCAATGCCTGTTTATCCAGGAGGTACATCTTTGTCATTAAGCAAGTACAGCATTTATGGAGCAACTACTGTATACCTGCCTTATGCTGGAGCTGCATTGTTGCAGTACAGCATTTATGGGGCATCTACTGTATGCCTGCTGTATGCTGGAGATACGGTGTTACGGTAGAGCATTTATGGAGCATCTACTGTATGCCTGCTGTATGCTGAAAATACAGTGGTATACCAACAGCTCCTAGGGGTGTACAAATAGGTGAGACATTAATGGACAAGACATTTTCAGATAGAAGCCAGTGCTGTGAAGATAATAGAACAAGGCAGTGACACAGAGGCTGGACAGTGAAGTCAGAAAGGGGCAGCTGTGCCAAATGCTGTGAGAGTCACCTGTGGGCAGGAAAAGTGACTTCTGCGAGGGATTGCGGCTTGGTCGTGCCGGAAGGCTTCATGGTGGTGAGAGTGACATCATAAGCCAGTGTCATCATAGTGATAACGATAATTTGAAATTTGTATGGGCATCCACTTGAGGCCAGTGCCCCAGTTGGACTCCTTACAGATGTCCTCACGCATCATTGTGTGCAGCAAGAGGCGCGGAAATGAAGGCTCAGGGAGGGCTTTTTGACCAGCTCCTCTTGTCCCCACAGGGTGGCCTGCAGCTAGTGAGGACATGGGGTGGGTAAGGGGCTGAAACAAGAAGATGAGGCGAGCTGGGGAGGGGATGGTGGTGTTCCTTTTTGTCCTATTTCTGAGTTTAGCAAACCATGGAGAGATCAGGCCTTGGCTGGGACTTCGACAGCTCCCTTTGGACCTGGAGGTGGTCATGGCCGCCTCCAGCAGTCAGTGTGTTCATTTCTGCCACACGAACAGCTCTGGTTCTCAGCGGTGGTGGAATTGAGGTTTAGAGACTCCATTGGGTTGGATTCCCCATCATCCATGCGCTAACATATGTGCCGTGTTCTGTTGCTGTAATGAAACACTTGGGGCTGAGTAGTTCATAGAGAACAGAAGTTCAAGAGCCAGCATGAGTTCAACCCTGGTGCGGTCTCCTGGCAGACAGCTTCACTATGATGTAGTAACAGGCCCAAGTCCTCGGCTATGTGTTTTCTGTGTGTTCACGTGACAAGTCTGCTGCTGTGCTTGCCAATGGGAGAGCCAGGCTTCAGGGAGCGATGGTGAGCAGAGAAGTAGCAGCTGCCCCTCCCTGCTCTGCCTGGGTGGTGGAAGCCACTGCCTGGGTGGTTAATCAGGCACAGTATTTCTTCAGGCTAGGGACTGGAGGCCAAGTCAGGGGTCCGGTGGCTTAGGCTCCAGGGAGGGTCCACTACCAAGCTTGCAGACAACCAGTTTGTCCTCCATTGGAGGGAATAACTTTCGTAAATTTATTTGTCTTGGAGTTGGAGGGGCCACATTATAAAGTGTGTGGAGGCCACTTCTCTTTGTCCACCATGTAAGTCACAGAGATGAAACTCAGGTCGTCGGACTTGATGACAAACGTCTTTACTGACTAAGCCTTCCTGCTGGTCCAAGAATGCTTTTATGAAGCTACTCACGTCCTCACGAGGCTCCACCATGGGGCTCTTGTTTAACCCTAATTACTTCCCAGTCATTCTAGCTCCAGAAACGGCCACACTTGAGGTTTGGATATTAACGTGTGAATTTGGGGGTGGGTGGCAGAGTTTGGTCCAGAGTAGCTCCCTAGTTACCTTTCTCTGTGCCTCTCTAGTATTCAGGCCCTCAAGGCTCTGTCTTTGCTCAGCATCCACCTTTTGCCCCTCTGGGAACAGCTGCAGCTAGACAATCAACTTGTGCAATGAAACCATTGCAACTCAACTCTTGTAGCTGCTGAGACCCAGAGAGCCTGGCGCCTACAGGTCCGCACAGCACGATCCAGGTGGATCCAGGACCAAGTCGCAGGCCCTGCCTCCCAGGTCACCATGTCTTCACAATGCGCCACTTTGCTTGTCATGTGGCCGGGCCTGAACATGCCTTGTGTCTAGGTTTCTCTGCGCAGAAGAAAGGACCAGGCGTAGCAAGGCAGTATCCCTAGGCCTGGAATGAGATTTGTTTCTCATCCTGTGCTTACCTTGCCTTACTCTCCTCCCAAATGGAAGTCGTGAGGATAGGTCTCTTACTGAAAGAATGTGGGAGTCCATGGAAAATAATGTGGAAAGAGTGACACGGGTGTGGGTACCAGGGCCTTGGCTGCGTGTGTTCGCCCACAGCTGCTTTTAAGGCCTAGGCGAATCATGGCTCTGTTCCAGCTACAGAATGCACTCAGCTTCCCGGCCAGTGCCATCTGACCTCAGTTCCTTGAGGATGCTCTCGAATGTTTGGAGAGCAGGCCTGTGCCAAACCGTTGGCTCTCCGACACACTCACCACAAGAGCCTCTTGGGGCTGGTGTTTTCCCAGTTAAAGTGGGAGTAGAGAAGAGCTTGGATGTGATCTGAGGTCCTGCTGCCAAGGAACAGAAACAGTGTGAGATGTTTGGCATGCTGGTTACGCTGCTCAGAGTGCTGTTGGCAGGCACTGGCCCAGCTTGGCCTGGGACTTGTTAGAAATAGAGTCTCAGGCACTGGCCCAGGCTGCCTGAACCAGACCCTGCATTTATGAGGACCCATAGCTTGTACAAATGACAGGAGATCACCTGGGTAGTCCCGGAAGTCTGTAGACCTCCACTTAAACAGACATAAAATGGAGCTGGTGGGGAGACCAAGGAGCCTCCATTTACATTCAGTACAGAGCCGAGTTGTTAGACTGTCTGGTGCTAAGGGCTGGTGGGGCTCCTGTTGCAGATTCCCTCTGAACGGCCTCTCTTTTTTCCCAGGGAGCGCTTGAAGCGCAGTCAGAAGAACGCCAAGGTGGAGGGCCCGGAGCCAGTGCCTGCTGAGACCTCGGTGAGTGCCGAGCAGGGGACGATGACGGAGGTGAAGGTGAAAACAGAACTACCAGACGACTACATCCAGGAGGTCATCTGGCAGGGCGAGGCCAAGGAGGAGAAGAAGGCAGCTGGCAAGGACGGAGCTGGTGATGTGCCTGCCGAGATCTGTGTGGTGATTGGTGGTGTCCGCAACCAGCAGACCCTTGGTGAGTGCCTGAGTGAGGACCAGGATGAGGACAGAAGTGTGTGCCAGAAAGAGGCTGGCGTCTCTGAGAGAGAACTTCTGTGTCTTGCTGAGAGTTGCCTTTGCCTATTGAGTTCTGGCCTGGAGAGGTCACTTTCTGATGTGACACACCCCTGCTTCTGGAAAGACTTTGTTGAGGTCAGATACTTAGAATGTTTGCTGGCCCCCATCATACCTCGAGGCTCCCAAGCTCCTGGTGGGGACAAGTATAAGCCCTTACTGCTTGCTTGGTGTCCTGAATGCATGTCCTGTCTGCCTTGTCCCTGGCTTCACAGGGAACTATGGGGCAAGTACTGGCCCTGGTCAACTTTCGATCGGTGACAGGTAAGTGTCTTCCCACACTTGGAAGAGTCTGGTAATAGCCTGCTCTAAGGCGTAATGATTGAAGTACTCAGATAGTCACAAGGCCTGACTGGCTGACTTAGCATATGTAGAGAGAGCCTGCAGGACACAGGATGGGGCAGAGGGCAGTTGTTACTACACCACAATGCTCGACAGCCTCTTGAGAGTCACCTCAAGAAGGACCCTGGCTCAACCCTGCCAGATCTCTGCACAGATCCTATGCCCAACATGTGAACATATTGGTGTGAATTCTTTTGGCTTTCAACATTGGCTCCCAGATTGACTTTTCAAATCTGCCAAACAAAACATATTGTTGGTTTAACAACTTTCTATGAGCCACAGCTTTGAATCCCAGGGATAGTGAGACAAGGCCCTGCTCCCTAGTCTGGCCCCACACGTCTGTCTCCCTCCTTCCTTCCTCTATGGTTGCCATGCGCAGAGTGTTCACTGGCATGCTCCACCATTGCCATCTACCCTTCTCTGACTCCTAGGCCCCTGTGTCTTCCTGGCTCACTTACTGTCTGCAGCCTGCAGGTCCTCATGTCCCTGTTTCCAGTGCCCATTCTCCTTAGCTACTCACCTCGGCCTCCTGCTCTTTTTCCCCTGTTCTTCCATGTCACCGTGCGCATCACCACAGTATCTCGTGACCAGCCACCTTTTGTCTCTCTCTGCCTGACATACCCTGCACAGCTGGCTACAAGGAAACCTTAATGAGTAAAACCCAGATACTATGTTGTCCTTCTCAAACCTTGAGACGGACTCCTACCATCTCCAGAAAGGTGGCCCCAGCACTGGGGTCCTCCATTGTGCCTATGTTGTTGGCCTCTGATCATCCCAGACCTCTCGTTACAATGTTCATCCTGTCTGCTCTTCCTGCGTCCCCTTCTAGGTTTACCTCCACTCATTTCCTAAGCCCAGCTTGTCGTTCAAGGCCAGTTCCAGGGCCACCTCCCTCCTTCCCTGATCTGCGGTCCGAGGAGTCTACATGGGCTGTGCCTGTCCCCTGCCATGTTAGCCGTTTTCACAGATGGCGCCATGACAGAGGATAGCAAGCTCTAGGTGAACTCAAGCAGGCCACTGTCTGCTAGAGCCAGAAGGAAGAGGTATAGAGTTCATTTACAGCTGTCAGGCCACATGAGGAAGCTAGAAGGTGCCACATCCCAAGGATAGCATGAAGGACAATTGGGCATGAGAAGATACTTGCTGGAGAGCCTTGCCTGACCTCCGCCCCTCAGCATTTACTCCCCAAAGCCGAGGACCAAACTTCCTCCAGCATCTGTGAATGGAGGAGAGGGTGCATGCTTATTCTCACTGACGAGGATATGTCAATACTCTTTAAGCCCAGCAGCCACTGCTGCTCTTCCCAGGGTGTCCTGTGAAGAGTAACTGTGTGCAGATCCGGTCAAGGAGGCCTCTGGCAGGCAAGCCAGAGAAATGTGGACATCCTTCACTGAGCCAATGGCCCACACAGTAGAGGCCCTGTGCCCTCGGGCCTCCTGCTAGCCAGAGGTACGCGTTTCCCACTCAGCAACCAGGTCTTTGCCTCACTGTCTCAGTGTCCTTTGCTGTTAGATGAGGATGCACCATGGCAACCTCATGGGTGTGGGATGTGCTGGGCAGAACAGTGGGAACTCGTTGCTGTGGTGCCTGTGATGGAGCACTCTCATCTCTGTGGAGCCTGTGGTGGGGAGGACTCATCTCTGTGGTGCCGGTGATGGGGAGCACTCTCATCTCTGTGGTGCCTGTGATAGGGAGCACTCTCATCTCTGTGGTGCCTGTGATGGGGAGCACTCATCTCTGTGGAGCCTGTGATGGGGAGTACTCATCTCTGTGGTGTCTGTGATGGGGAGCACACCAGGATCTCTGACTCATAGAAGAGCTCTGTGTACTGCAGTGCCCACCATACAGATTCATGGGTCATGTGAGGATATGGTAGGATATGTGCTAAGTACCTGGTGCTGTGCCCAGCGATAAAAGCTCTCAGAAGTATATTCTGAGTGTTGGTAACTGTGGTTGGAATTCTCTTTGAGCCACCAACCAGCTCCCAAATAATGACATGGAGACTTCAGTAAGAATTATGAAAGCTGGCCCTTTAGCTTAAGCTTGTCCCACTAGCTCTTACAACTTAATTTGTTTCTGTTCATCTACTTTTTGCCTCATGACTTTTTATCTTTCTTTCATTCTGTATGTCCGACTCCCTCCAAGTCTTGTTAGTGTCTCTGTGCACCTTGATTATCTCCTCCTACTTCCTCTCTTTGTGCCCAGAAGTCCCGCCTATACAGCTATTGGTCATTCAACTTTATTGGTCAATCACAGCAATACATTTTTACCCAGTGTACAAATTCCCACTTTTTGCCTAAATAGAAAGGAAAAGTTTTAACTCTAACATAGTAAAACTATATACAATAAGAACAATTACCAGATAAGAATTATATTTACAATATCTAGTCCATTTGTATTTGGCAAATTCAGAGAAAATATCCCATTATTTATCCTATCTTGGTGAGTCCAAAGTTTTGCACCCAATTTACCTTCTGTCATAGCTAAGGGAAACTGTAACTATAAGTACCTGTGTCCAACTCCATCAAAGACCCCAGAAGGATATAATATTACCTGAGTAAACAGGAGGTGCTGTGTAAGGGACTTCTAAAACTAGAAATGACAGAGACATATGGTGGCCTAGACAGTCACCTAACATTCCTCTTCAACATTGGGTCATCCATCTACCACCTACAGGCATAGAAGATCTGACAGACTTTTCTATGCAGCAGGAATTTTGGAAATATTTGGCAATCTTTTTTCTTTGTGTCCTGTTTGTCCGGTTTGTACAGTATACTGTTAGCAGTCGAGGCGAGGGCAGTCTCTTGGCCAGATGGCCAGCTTTGCCACAGTGAAAGCAAGCTCCAAATGGAGGTTCTTCTACACCCACAATCCTTTTATGATGTAGATTGGTGCTGCCAGGAGAAGATGTGTTTCACTGTCATGAAAAGACTTAGGTTACTAAGCATCTAAATGCTATATCTGTAGGTCTTTGAAGCATTTGAAGGTCACCTATCTAAAATATCTGTTTGACCTTGAAAACATAGTTAACGTGACTACAAGTTTGGTTGTTAAAGGTTACTAACTACTAACCTGCACTTTAAAAAAATTATCCTAACCAGTTTGTAATAATAGCTTTCAAGAACTAGAACTTTACATTACATTTTTAAATGAGCTGCATAGATACAGTACCTTAAACAAGA